AAAAAAAAATTCTGCAGACCGGCAATGTTTCATAAAATTTTTGCAGACTCAAAATAGTTTTATTTGATAGACTTCAGGGCAGGTATGTTTAACAAGTTTCTGTTTTTGCAAAATTCAAGTTGACAACCAATAATGTAGCAGCTATAATGGAATGTCTTCAAAAAATTGGAAAGGTTTGCTTGAAGAAAGGTTTTTTGGATATAAAAATCAAATAATTTATTTCAGAAACTCAAAATTTGCCTGAAAGTTCTATGGTCTTCAAATAACAAAAGCCTTTGCTATTTTGCTATTTCTTTGGTATTTTTGATCAATTTATTATGCTGAATCTTGTTCAGCAGTCAGCTGTAAATTTTCTTTAGAATAATAAATTTATCAAAAGTAGCAAAGAAGTCTGTTATCTTTATCTGAAATTGTGGTAAGACAGCAGCAGTCAATGGACCACCAGTGGGGGAACACTGCTTTAAATCATCATGGAGGAAAATTGATTCTAAGAAAAGTCTTGTTTTGTTTTTCTTGCATGCAGATAGCCCACCCATCTTTGTGTACAAAATGATAGACCAAACTATTGGGGAAGCAACAGCAGTCTCAATGAAATGCAGTGCTTCTGGTCGCCCCACCCCAACAATTCAGTGGGCATTGAATGGATTTCCCCTGAAGGAAATCCCTGATCAACTCTCCAGGCAAGTCTTATAACTCACACTGACCTCCCATTAACAGTGACAAGAATATTTTCTGGGGTCTCTTTACAGAAATGGGCAGAGGGAAAAAAAGGCAATGGTTCCTAGACATGCAAGAAGCCTTTTTTATTTGCTCTTTTTTTTTGCAGGTACATGACTGGGCAATATGTGACAGTCCATGGGATTGTAGTGAGTCACGTGAACATATCAGCAGCCACCAGCAGGGAAGGAGGGATTTATTCCTGTGCTGCTGTGAATTCAGCTGGCAACACTGTGCACTCTGCTCATCTCAGGGTTTATGGTCTGCTGTCAACAATAGAAGAGACACATGGGTTGTTTTCATTCTGAATGAATCATTTTGTTCCTCTGTCCCCTGTATATGTATAATAGGGCCCCCTGTGATCAGGGACATGCCAGCACAAACTGCTGTTGTTGGGAAGGACTTTAGTGTTTCCTGTCCTGTGGGAGGGCATCCCATTCACAATATTACCTGGAGGAAAGGTGAGTGCACACCAGGGAAATCATGATGCCCAAGGCATTTCAGACAAACAGCCCAAGTGGTGAAAAATTGATTAGCATAAAGAAATGTTTGCACATGATGATATGTTTAGCAGGACCAACAAATGCTCACATTTCAGCAATTATCGGATTCAACTTATTTTAATTCAGGAAAAAGTTTTGAGAGCGAAATGGAAGATATTTTAGAATGTTTGTGCATCCCATCATTTGAAATTGTTGAATTTCAGAAACTTTAGGACATACAATTTCCATAATTACTTGAATTTTATGCCTGCAATTTTTCACTAGTTCGGAATTTTTTACAGTAAATTTTTGCTATAACAAATTTGTGTTTGTAACAAATATTTCAAGTGTCTTTCTTCTGTACCAAGAATGTTTTTCAAAGTTTTAGAATGTTTGTGCATCCCATCATTTGAAATTGTTGAATTTCAGAAACTTTAGGGCATACAATTTCCAAAATTACCTGAACTTTATGACTACAATTTTTGTTACTAGTTTGGAATTTTGTTACAGTGAATCTTGGCTATAACAAATTTGTGTTTGCAACAAATATTTCAAAAGTCTTTCTTCTGTACCAAGAATGTTTTTCAAAGTTTTAGAATGTTTGTGCATCCCATCATTTGAAATTGTTGAATTTCAGAAACTTTAGGAAATACAATTTCCAAAATTACTTGAATTTTATGACTGCAATTTTTTTTACTAGTTTGGAATTTTGTTACAGTAAATCTTTGCTATAAAAAATTTGTGTTTGCAAAAAATATTCAAAGAGTCTTTCTTCTGTAGCAAAAATGTTTTTCAAAGTTTAGAATGACAAATTTTTGTTATATTAAAGCTTTATTTTTCCAGGTCACAAATGACTTTCTTTTAGCAGCAAACTAATAACAAGTCAAAATGCACAGGTCTTATCAAGCTATAACATCAAGGATTTTTGTGTTTGTCTGGAATGTATTAACTACAAGTAGTTTGCAATCAAACTTTGAGCAAAATCATCTTTCTTGTGGCATAAAACATTTTGCATAACAAACAGCATCCCAAAATGGATTAGCCTTTTTTTTATTCATGGGCTCATTTTAATTTTTTTTTTATTAATTTCAGAGACCTCCAGTGAAGGGAATTTGAAGGAAGATGGAAGATTTGTGCTACACCCCAATGGGACTCTGACTGTGAGATTTGTGCAGAAGTCAGATGGAGGAAAGTATGTTTGCAAGGCATTTGGCCTGAGGGGGCAATTTGCAGAGAATTCTGTTCATATCACACCAGCAGGTCAGTCAACCAAAATATCCCCCCCTCCCACACTTTTTAGCATGCTCTTGTGTTAGTTTAAATAATCAACTGCATAAAATCTGACTCAACAAAATTGGTTTCATACATTTTTTGGAATTTGACAGGATTTTTTTTTTAGCTTATTTGAAGAATGTTTTTGAGAATCTTGAAAATTTCTCAGACTTGGTCCTTTTTCATATTGTATAAGGAAGATTTTTTGAAATAAGGATCTGGGATGCTATTTTTAAATCCTGTGCTTTTAGTAGTGTAAGTCCTGGAAAATATTGAGTAAGAAAATCAATAAAAAGCGTTTATTCTCCCATATTATTTCTGGTTATGTAAAAACTTCAACGTGAATAATGTAAAAGAAAATGTATCAGTTGAGTCAGCTCAATACTTCTTCCACAATTTCTTGCATGTTATATTCATTTGCTGATAAAATGAAGAAACTCACATCACGCACATATACGAAGTCAATAAGTCAGGGTTGCCATTAGATGCACAGCAGTGGCACTGCAAACTAGAGAACCCATCATGCATGTGCACCAATTGTTCTCATTTGGCATGGGTTCCAGAAGGGTTCCAAAAAGTAACTTGAGTTTATATCTGACACATTTTTTTTTATGAAGAAAGAGTCCTAACGTCGATTTTGAAGACTCTTTCCGAAAGATTTTGAAAACCCTCCTGATTTTTTGAAAAACATGAAATTAAAATTAAATCCAACAGAGTATGAAAACAAATTGAAGTTGGCATTTTCAGTTTGAATTTAAAAATGGCTGTTTCTGCTAAAACTGTGTGAAGAGTTTTTGTTTGCTTAATTGAAGGACCTCTCTGTGGAGCCTCTATATATTATATTGTGTAGATGTAGAGAGTATGAGGATGATTTTCAGAAGAAAACTTGACACATTGCGTTTTTTGCTCACAAAAAAATGACAATATGCAGTTGAACCTCTTCAAGTGAACTTTGAGGGACCAGATTGGCACTTTTGCAGTGGGGATACATATTTTGATTGAGGGAAACAATCATTTTTGTTGGTGGGAAAGAAATAAGAATTACAGTAAATTGTTTTTGGTAATATTCTGGGCCTTAAATTACTTCCTAAATGAGATGACAGGATGTTCAAGTTGAAGGTAAGGGTTCATTTGTCCAATGAGTCTTTTGCTTCCTTTCAAAACACATCTAATTACATTTTTTATCAATTTTTCTCTTTCCTGTGTCAATAAAATAATTTCCAATTGCTTACTGAGAATTTGAGTTATGGAGGTTTAAGAGGGGGAAAACTTTTGAGATAATGAGCATTTGCCCAATTAGTCTTTTGCTTCCTTTCAAAACACATCTAATATTACATTTTTCATCAATTTTTCTCTTTCCTGTGTCAATAAAATAATTTCCAATTGCTTACTGAAAATTTGAGTTATGGAGGTTGGAGAGGGGGGAAACTTTTGAGATAATGAGATTTTTAATGCATTATTTTTGTGGTAACTCAGACAGTTGAGGACTTCTGAAAAAAAAAATTGACAAACATGGGGAGGCATTCAATTTGAAGGATTTTTGAATGATTGAGGTTCAACTGCATATATACAGTACAGTATGTGTATATATACCGTACCCTATATTTGGATGCCATGAAATGACAAAAACATGCAGAACCACCCAACCTGGCATCCCTGTCGGTCGACCCCGAACTGAAGACCGGCGACCGCGCCACGCTCAACTGCGTGGTGAAGGGCGGCGATTCGCCGATGGAGTTGCGCTGGTCGCGGGACGGTGTCGCTGTTGACGCAGGAGCGCTGCTGCCCGTGCTGCCTGCAGCAGCGACATCTAGCGCGCTGGTGCACCGCATCGACGACTTCACCAGCATACTCGTCATTCGCAACATTACCACGGCCCACGCGGGCAACTACTCTTGTCAAGCACTCAACCGCGCCGGTGTCGACACCCGCACTGTCACTCTCCTTGTCAACGGTAGTTTGTTTCTCCACCGCCCCACTCATTTCATTCATTCTTTCGCGTCTCTCGTTTTTTTTTTTCTCCCTGCTTTTTTTTAATCTCGTTTATTTCTTCCGCTTTCTATTATATTTTCTCTTTGTTTCTCATTCTCCTTCTTCTCCATCTCTTGATTTTGCATTTATGTATTTTATGGCATTTATACGCAGAGCGTTTTCTCGATCACAGACGCTGATTTTTCTAGAAATGAGTCGCCTGGACCATTTTTCAAACAGACTGGTTTTCACCAACTTGGAAGTACTGTATGAAAATTTGAATGAAAACTCAAATTAAAGCTCACGTCAATAGCTTTTCAATTAATTTGTTTCGGATTTTTTCTTTGATTATCATGGCTGTTACACATATTCGAAGAAAAAGAATTACGAAATGAAGGAAGCAAATGTGTCGCGTATTGATTTTGAATGATGAGCAAATTTCGAATCAAGCTGCTTAGACTCAAAGGTTTTTAAAAAATGTTCAAATAAATCAGATATGGTGGATTTAATTTTTGAAGAATTTCATGCTCAGAATTCCAAAAGTTTTGTAATTTAACTTTCAAAATTCAGTATGATCATGAACAATAAAATTCATAGAGTATTTCAAAGCCCATGAAGTTGCGAGTTACTCAAAACCGAATTTTGCTTCTCAGAATTATTTGTTATTGAGACATTTCTGTTTTAATAGGTGAATTTTTTCAACTTGTAATTCTTACAATTAAACATGATAACAAACTTTTTTTCAATTGGTCCAACATTTTCTGAGCCACCTGCATTTCTGAATCTCAAGGCAAAACAATACCCTTCAAAGTTGAAATTATGATGTGCATCTGAAGTATATATTGAACTTTGAAATTGTTTCCCCGTTTGTATGTATGTCTTATTGAAATGATACTTTATCCATTCAGCAGTGATTTTTTTGTACTGTACTGTATCTGAAAATTTTAACTGTAAACGTCTGGGGATAATTTTTATTCTTTTATTTCTGAACATTTCTGGCACAGTTTTTTTTTACAAGAGCAGGCTATTGATCTATATTAATTTATATAAATTTTTCAATCAATGAAACTTGAGCAGATGCTCTGTGAAAAATGCCATACAATATATTTTTTTTTTCAACTTTCACTGACTCACACCTCAGATTTCACTGACAAGAAAATGTGCAGTTCCATCCACTCACTGAAGATATTTTTCCCCACATCTCACTCCACAAGCACTACTGGCCATGAATGAATGAATGTTTGAACCACAGCAGATGATATGAAAGAAATCCCATCAGTTTTCTTCAACAGCACATGACAGATTACTCTCTCATGAAACTTTTTTCACTCAAACATATCATTCAGTATCCTCTGTAGTTATTTCACAAGGCTTTTGTGGTGTCTTTTATATTCTGGCACCATCTGACCTCATTTCAGATGAAATGCTGAAGAACTGTAGTCCATGTGGCTTTTCCCACTTGCTCACATGACCATAATTATTCTGGCCCATATCAGAGTGTAGATTATACAGTAGTAGAAAGACTTGTTGATGGTCTGCTCAGCTGCTGTTTAGCATTCAATTTATTTTGTCAAGAATTGTAAAAAAAAATGAAAAGAGTTAGACTTGAAGACCTGATAGAAAATTGTCAACAGTGGAGCCACAGATTGGCTTGTTCTCCTTTGGTGACAACTTGAAAGAGGGCCAAAGAGTGCAAGTGCTCTGCCATGTGAACCAGGGAGACAGTCCAGTCAGGATCCTGTGGTACAGGGACCAGACTGTGCCCCCCAGCACCAGTCAGCAACAGGGCATGGTCATGAGGCAAGTGTTGCCAACTCATGATGACTCCATCAGTATCCAAGCCCTGGATGGCTACTCTGCAAGGTTGATTATCCCTGATCTCAAAATAACCCATGCAGGGAATTACTCTTGTGAGGCAATCAACCAGGTTGGGGCTGCTAAACTAACTGCTCAACTGGTGGTCAGTGGTGAGTGTGACATTATATGGGGAGAGGAAATGTAAGAAAAAAGAATTGGAACCATTGTAACCCAGAACTTGAGAAACCCCAGAGTGGTTGGAACTGCGCATTATTGTGTTAAATGTCTCTCCAAGTTAAATATTGATGTGTGGCATCATGAGTATACCTGTGTGCTGTGTCTTGATTCAGTTCCACCAAGATGGACAAGTGAGCCACAAGGAGAGAAATCTGGTTTGTTGGGTCACAGAATTATTCTGGATTGTGGTTCAGAAGCTTTTCCTGAGCCCATTGTGGTTTGGAAGAGATACAAAGGTATGTCAAAGTTTCACTAAACTTTTGTCACTGTTTTATTAATTATATTTATCATCAAAACCTTACTTTGGTTCTGTTTTACAGTGGGTGTCTCTCTTTAATGAGATAAGTTCATTCTAGGATAACCTTCTGTGATGCATGATATGATTTTCCTTGATTTATTGTGAGGAAAAAAATTTTGAAAAACTAGGCACTCACAAAAAATTATTTTATTGGCCTACAAAACTGATCTATTTCACTACAAGCAGTTCCCAAGATTTGAGAATGTTGAGCTCTTAATTTTGGGAATAAATTCATCATTAAAAAGAGTTATTTTTGTTGAGAAAATTAAGCCATGTGAAGCAAATTTCTTATTAGATGGTATTTTTGACAGCAAAAATGTCCATAGTATGATTATTTTTTGCAGAGACCCAATGCACAATTGACTTCACAAATATTGCTAAATTAATCACAGCTTTTTCATTCCAAGTATTTTTTTTTTTTTTTTATTTTGAAAAGTGTGCAATACTCCCAGTTTCCTCTGTCTGAAAAACTCATCAAAAGTTATTTGTGAGCTGCAAAACCAAGATTGTATTTTGCCAATTTCAAAAAGTTGTATCTTGTTTGTTTTAGTAAATTTTTGCTTATGAAACAGGTCCTTGCCCAGTATATTAACCACAGGGTTACTGTATTTGAATTCCTGTATGATACTTTTTTTTTAAGAAAGCTGTTTACCTGGCACAAATATGGCTTTTGTGTACAGTGTAAAGAGGTTTTATTATATACAGATGAACTCACTCTGCAACAAAAATTCAAGGAACCAGGAAAAATGTTGTTGCAGAGAGATTTTTTTTGTCATAGAGAAGAATGCTTATAACATGGACAGTTGACCCTATGGGACCAAAGCAAAATTTGTTGTGCAGAGAACATCATTGTAGACATGATCATTGTGGAGGGAGTCCAACTGTATTTCAAAGATATATATATTCATTTAATTTCCAGCTGGGGAGCTGGACCAGTTCCAAGAAATACAAACCATTTCTTTGGAACACAGTTCAGAGGCCTCATGGGTGCATTTGAAAAACCAAAGCCTCTTGACTCCAGCTTTGTCAAAGGCCCATGAAGGAAGATACATGTGCAGAGTGGACAATGGGATTGGATCCCCTTTGATCAGAAACTTTTTTGTTCAAGTCAGAGGTTAGTGCATTTATATCCTGTGCTCTGATATGGATTCCAAAATGTGTATATATTCCCCAAGTGGGGAAAATGGTGCACAATTGGGATATGCAAGTATTTCCACACAGTGACCCTGCTGTGCACCTGAAAAGTACCAAAGTTCTTCTTCTGCACATGCATACCCGTAATGTGCACCAATTGTGTGTTCACACCAGGATTACTCAGGGTCACATTTGTAAACAAATAAGGTACACCAAGGTTACAGTTGGTGCATTTGTGGGATACTCCTGTTATTTCACATTTTTACACCAAGTCCAGCCCTGGAATGGTAGCAAAATTTCCTCTTCAGGAGTGCACACTTGTAACCCCAGAATATCCCATATGCACCAGTTGTGACCCTAGTGTGCACCTACTGTGGTTGTACCTTGTGAATGCTGAAAAGCGGCAAATAAAGTTTTCTGTTCATTCATTCACCTACTGTGGGGTCACAGCAAAAATAGCTCCCCACTCGGGCCATGCCTATTTACATTTGTGATATACTTTCAGCTCCACCAGTGTTGGATGAAACCTATGGTGTGAAGGAGGGTAAGTTCTCCTTCAGGCTTGGTGATGAAGGCAGTTTGACCTGTGTGGCAACTGGTGACCCACCTCTGAGTATCTCTTGGTATGTCAGGGGCATCAAGGTGTCTGCAAACTCAAACCAGATCTTTGCTGACCCCGTGACAAAAAGGTATTTATTTTAGAAAACAGAATATTATCCCGGAGAAATATTTAAAAAAAAAAATTTATCCTATATCCCACAGAATAAAAGTTAGCAGCTCTACCAGAGACTCCTCTACTACCTCCAAGCTGACCATCAAAGGGATTGAGCTTTCAGACTCTGGGATTTACAGATGTGAAGCTGACAATCCCTTTGGAAGGACTGACAGAACCCTGGAAATCAGTGTTCTTGGTATAAACCTTTTTTTTGGAAGAAGCAAAATTCTTGAAAAATATGAATGACTGAACTGTTTTTCAGATGCACCAGGGAGTCCTCAGAATGTTACTGTGGAAAGCATCAGCAGCAGGGGATTTTTTGTGAGATGGAGAAGCCCTGAGAGAAATGGCAACTCTTTCATCACCAAGTACCACATCTGCTTGGAGCACAAAATCAGTGGTTTGTGTTTATTGTAGTGTTTGGCAAGTTCATGGGAGATAAAAATGATGATTTTTTTCGCAGGTCAGCAAAGCTGTAAAGACAAGGATTTGCCAAAGGAGCAGGAAAACCTGAGGTGGTTGTCAACTGAAGTCACAAACTTGCTACCAAACAGTGTGAACCTGCTGAGGATTTATGCTGAAAATGAGATTGGCAGGGGTCCTGGTTCCTCAGTCATAGCTGTCCTCACCAAGGTGTGAATCCTATTCATATACTATGCATGAATTTTTGTAAATTGACTGCTATTTCTTACGAAATTCTCAAGTTGAACTTATTTTCAAAATACTGTATAGGCAGAGTCTGATCAGGTCAAAGAAAATCAATGCCAGAAAAGAACAAATTGCCAAAGAATTGACAATAATTCCTCACCAAGGCTGTGCAGAACTGGAACAGAAAATCTATTCTCTCTTACCCTCAATTTGTCAAGTTCCTCTTTACCACATTGAAAAAATAACCATGGAACTTTTTGTTTGCAAAATTCGTTTGCTGTGAGAAATGATTTTATTTGAAAGAGCCAAACAAAAAATGTAAGGGTTCATTTATTTATAAAAACGTTCTGCTTTTCTCAAATAGCAATTTAAAGTTGCATTTCACTTTAAAAATATGAAATTTCCCAACTGAAAGGCACAATTTTGAATTTAATTTTTTGAAAACGCAGCATTTAAATTGAGATGGTAAGGCCTTTATTGGCCTTTGCCAATTTTCCTTTGTTTTCTAGAAATTTCATCAATTTATTCCACATTGGTATTTATTCCCCAAAAAAGAATCAATTCTGATGGAAAACGTTGTTGGCCTGTTCAAGCATGTTGATTTGTCCAGAAAATAATTCAGATTTGATGGAATTAATTTCTCAATAAATCAAGAAGAAAACATGAATTTCCATGCATCAAATTTTTGTTATGATGAATTTTGTGTCCCTATGAGAAATGTGAATGAATGAATGAACAGAACACTTTATTTGCCACTTTTCAGCATTCACAAGGTTCAATCAAGATTTCCACAATCAAACCCCACGTTCCCAAAACGCGATAAACTCGAAATCCTCAGCGTAAAATTCCCCACACCCCTATATCTTGGCCGTAAAAGTCATGACCGCAGTCGTTTCTTCCCTTCCTTCGCAACCCGGGTCCCATTATTCGACTTGATCCTTTAAGATTACAGAAAGGGTCTCTTCGTTGAATTCCAGTATTGTACTTGTAAATATTTCTTAAGCTTGTTTCCATCAGTATGAAATGCTGGACATAAGAATAAGAGAAGGTGCTCTGGTGATGCACAAACTAATGTATTTATCCTGCAGGTGTTACACCACTTCAACACTTATGAAAATTGGATGAATTTTTTACTAAAATGCCAGGAATTTGTCAAAACAGAACTGTATTTATTAATTTTTCACTCTGCTTGATGGGGAGCAAGCAAAAGCACAAATACAAAATCAATAAATAATATCAACGCATCATGTTATTCACGTTTTTTGTGCATGTAAAAAACAATTTTGAATTTTCACAAATATTTATATGTAGGAAGAGCCTCCAGCAGCAGCTCCGACGAACCTGACAGCAGATGCCATCAGTTCCAGGCAAATCCGGATATTTTACAGTCTGCCCGACAAGTCCACATGGAACGGAGCCCTTTTGGGAATTTATGCGGGGATCAAGTGAGTCAAGTTTTTGGCACGGAAAGTTTGATCCTTCCCGCGCGGAGAAACTGATTTGAATTTCGCGACGCGAAAACTTTCTTCATTACAGGCTGTCGTCGGGCCCGGGGATTTTCAATTTCACAGTGCTGCCCATGAAGGCCAGCAGCAGCAGCAGCAGCAGTGTGACGACGGGTTATCACCATGAATTCACCTTTGACTCTCTGAAACCATTCACTGACTACGAAATTGCCCTGAGGCTTTTCAATGGACAAGGCTCCGGTCCTTTGTCTAGTTCTGCCAGGGCCAGCACTCTGGAAGACGGTGGGCCGGAATTAATATTATTTTCTTCAATTGCCATCCTCACAAAATTCTCAAAAGGGGGCGCTTTTGTGAGAGAAGGACAATGTTTAATCAAGTTTTGTCAATTGCCTCATTGCAGTATTATCTTATTGTTACAACAAATAATTCAGTAGAGATACATATTTTTCAAGTCCCAGCAGACAGTCCATCAAGCACAATCTTTTAATAGCAAACTACCCAATTCCAGTATGAGAAACTTTTTTTTTGGAAATTCTTGATAGATTCTCCAGGTGAAAATTCCCAAGTGGGGAAATTGGTGCATTGCACGCTGGGGATATGTTTGTAATTCTACACAATGACCCTGCTGCGCACCTGAGGTGTACCAAAGTTCTTCTGTTGCACATGCATACCCCTAATGTGCACCAATTGTGTGTTCACACCAGGATTACTCAGGGTCACATTTGTAAACAAATACGTTACACCAAGGTTACAGTTGGTGCATTTGTGGGATACTCCTGTTATGTCACATTTGTACACCAAGTCCAGCCCTGGAATGGTAGCAAAATGTCCTCCACACCAGTGCACACTTGTAACCCCAGAATATCCCATATGCACCAGTTGTGACCCTGGTGTGCACCTACTGTGGGGTCACAGCAAAAATAGCTCCCCACTTGGGTTGTGTAACCAATAAAGAAGGCACCTTCTGGAATGTCCCTTTGTAAATGTGACTGCCTGGTTCTTGTAGCTTGGATGGAAGTGATCAATAACAAACATGCTTTGAAGTTGTTCAACTCATCATCCTCCCAAGATGGAAGGAGATTTTCTTGGAGAGGTTAAACAAAGCAATGTTTCCTGAACTGCAAAAATCATGTCAAAATCAGTGCAAAAATTGTTTTGAGGGTGAATCCTGTGCTTGCTGCTCCTATAGTGAAAAATTAGATTTTTTTAAACATGATGTACCTTCAATAATTATTTACTATATAATACAGAGAATGCAATTGGACATCAAATGGAATGTATGACTGAAGCACATTTTTTTCTAATGATTGTTCTTTTTTTAAATAATACTAAAAATCTGAGAATGCCAGAAAATCCAAATATAGAAGTGATTATATGCATGGTTTGATGTGAAAAAAACATTTTCCCATCATCAACTTTGAATAAGATCTCATCATAACAAAATTATCCAACATAAAAACCTTTTTTCTGTGGTCCTCAAAAGTGCCTTATAACAGGATCATACTGTGCAATATATCATTTGATGATTCCAGGTCCTGAAGTTCCCCCTCAGACTGTTTCCTGTGCTCCAGTGTCATCCACAAAAGTGCTGATTTCCTGGAACAAAATCCCTTCAAAACTGGCCAATGGGGTTCTGATGGGCTATGAAATTGTGTACACTCAAGCTGATTTGGTGTGGAAAGATGAGAGTTCCAAGTTGAGACAAAAGGTGGGAGCAGCAGCCAGGGAATCTGTAGTTGAGTCCCTGAAAAAGTACTCCAACTACTCTTTTGAAGTACTTGGGTTCACAAGAGCAGGTGGAGGACCTGCTTCTGTGCCTGTGTTTTGCTCAACTTTTGAAGACAGTGAGTATAGTATTATTTGACAAACATTTATTCTTCAAAGCAATGATGAAATGACATTGATTTATTTCTTCAAAGAACCTGGTCCTCCAAGAGGGCTACTGGTTAAGAAGCTGAGTCCAGACACTGTGATAATTGCTTGGGAAGAGCCAGAAAAATCCAATGGAGTCATACAGGGCTACAAGGTCTACCTGGATCCAGACCCACAGAGTCATTCCAGAGGGATGCACAGTGTTTCCTCATCCTCCAGATATCTGCAAGTGGGGATTGGAACCAGGAAGACATTTGATGTCTATGTTGCTGGTGTCACATCTGCTGGGGAAGGCTCAAGTTCTCCAGTGGTGAAATTCCACACCAAGGATGATGGTAGACATTTTTAAAACTTGTAGCTTGTACTGCATATTTACCCGGTTACCATTTTTAAGGAGATTGCACTGCATAATTTATCTGAGTAACATTTTCACCCTTCTCCCAGAAAAAAGGGTCAAAAAATGCTGATGAAACGTTTTCTTGTGAATTTTGAAACTTTGATTGGCATCTTAGAATCTTATTATTGAAAATAACTAGAAGGGGTAAATATCTGAATTTAGTCTCAACTAAATATGAATATATTACAAATACCACTGTTGTTTCATAACTTCTGAGACTTTTTGAAATGGATATCCAGCAATGAAGTTTCAACAGTTCCAGTATAACTCAATTTTTAACATTTTTAACAATCGAATTTAAACATTTCAAAAAGCTGAAAGGGCAAAACTATTTGAGCAAAACAATAAAATGCAATGGCTAACTTCTGTACAATATTTGGCCTTGTTGAATATTTTATGCTTCTATTCTGTGAAAATTTTTGTTTTGTTTTTAGTATTCAATTTATTAATTTCAAGAAAATTGGGTGGATGGCTCATGCATTATAACCCTAATATTTCTCTGCAAAAAATAGTGAATGTCTTACTACTTACTTGAGCGCTTTAGGAACTTGAGTAAATCCAGGGAATGAAACAGTACCAAATGTTTTTGATTGTTTTTTTTTTTTTTTTCTTGCAGGAGTGCCAGCAGCCATTTATTCATTTGGTGGCCCAAGAAAGGTGAAAGTTGGCACTGACCTTGAACTGGCCTGTGCTCATGTTGGCCAAGAGAAACTGACATTGTCTTGGCAATTTGAGCCTGAAGGTGGGCTTGGCTTCAGGCCTGTGTTGGCCCACAGATCTTCTGATGGTCTTCCTTGGAATGAAGCACATAATGCAGGCATTGGGGCTCAAGGCACACTTTTCCTAAGACCTGTGCAGCCTGGTAATGCAGGCACTTACAAATGCACTGTGAGCAATGACTTGGCCACAGACTCCATCAACTACAGTGTTGTTGTGCTTGGTGAGTCAATAAAACAGGTTTGGTTTTGAATGCAAATCCAAAGTACCATAATTGTATAAAGTGAAATCTCATTACAATTAACTTTTGGGGACTTCAGAAAAATAGGTGTTGTATGGAATAGTTTTTTAAAAACTATTGACTGAAAAACAATTTTCACTTCAGACCTGCCTATAATCCATTTTACATTGCTTTTCTGTCATTCTCAGATTATTTTATCCCTGTTTGATGCAGTGTGTGATCTTCTGGAGAAATATCTTCAATCATGAATTCCATCAGCTGCACCAATATTGTCATTCTTGGAGGCTGTTGTGTGGAACCACTTGGAAACATGTTTGTCATTGATTAAAGCTTCCATCCATGCTGAAATAACCTTTCAGTCAAATTTTGGATCAGAAATTTCAGACTTTGCCAACCTCAGTCAAGAAATTTCTACCTTGAGAATCCATTGAACATTCATTTAAAAATGGTTGTTATACTGGCATTGGGAAGTTTGTTGTAATGAGATTGTTTCAACATGTACTGTATGGCAGTGTTCTCCAACATGTGGTTCTTTGACTGACACCAATCCTCAAAAATTTATTTGTTGGTCTGCAGGAAATTTTCTTCTGCATAATGAATTCATCAAAATTATAGCAATGAAGTCTGTTATCTTTATCTGAAATTTCAGAAATAAGACAATGATATTTGAAATTATCCCATGAAAAATAAAAGTTGGCTTTGACAATGCTTCAGACAAGTTTATTTTGCTGAGATAAATTATTAAATTGTTTCTTTTTGAGAAACCTTTCTTCATGCCCGCCTTTCCCATTATTTGAGTACGTTCCACTTTGGCTGTTTCATTGGTTCTTAACTTAAGTTTAGTAAAAAAAGCAGAAACTTGTAAATATTGTACCTACTATAAAGTCTTTCAACCAGTTTTTTTTTTTAGTCTGCAAAAATGTGATGAAACTTTGCTGGTCTGCAAAATAATTTTTGGAAATGTCCTAGTCTCCAAAAAACAAAATTCATGAAATACTTGTGTTTTCATCATAGAACCACCAAAACCACCAATGATTGCAGCTGTTGAGGAAGTCAGTGAAGGAAGAGTGAAGGTCACATGGACACCACCTGTCTCAAACCCTGACTCAGTTCCACCCATCACAGCCTACCAGATCTTCTACAGACCTTCCAAGCCCAATCATGCCACCAAGGCAGTGACAGTCAGTGGGTCCACCACCAACATGGTTCTCAAGAACCTCACATGTGGCACTCCATACTTGGTGCATGCCAAGGCTGTCAATGAGATTGGAGCTAGTGAGAAAAGTGCTGCCAGTCATGTGCAGATGAGTGGGAATCTGCCTGCATCTCCTGATGCTGAAACTGCTGTGGTGTTGAATGAGAGTGACACAGTGCTGGTGCTCAAGGAATGGACTGCCAGGGGTTGTCCTATACTCTTCTTCAGTGTTGCCTACAGGCTACTGGGATCCAATGACTGGATAATTGGTGAATCATCTATGCTTTGATGTTACAAAATTGATTCACATCACTGATTTAAAAAAATGTTCACTGCCAAATGCAAGTTACTCACATGCAGGAAAATGCTTTCACATGATTTTTTTTCTCTGCAGAAAATTATAAATTTAAATATGTTTTGAGATTATGTTTTTAATTATTTTCAAAGACAAGCTGAGCATTGTGGAAAATAAGATCAAGGTAGAATGATTGCCTTCTTCATAGTCCCAAATATTTTTTAGTATGTTGTCCAAAATTCTTCCCTAGGTCAAAAATATCTACAAAAACAAAATATAGTTGCAATGACACTGACTTCAAGAATCCAGCATCTCCATTATTTTGTGGTGTGATTGTGTGAAATGTGATTTTGTTCAAATTGGAATTGAAAAATGTTGAATGATTCCCATCAGACACTCACCAAAGGACTACAACAAACCTTGAAACCTGTGCATATTTCATGACTTTCAGTATGAAATTGTGATTTTAAAATGTATTAGTGTACTGTGTAGATAATCCATCATGATAAATCTGTGCTCCTGACTTTTTAAAATTTTCAATTTTAAAGGCAATGAGAAGAGGCAAATCTAAATCCTGTAATTATTATTTTCTCATTTTCTTGATATTTTGAAAAATTCCAGAGGTTAATTTAGCTCATTATTAACATGCTGAAATTTCAGTTTGTTGCCAAATAAAATTACTGAATGTGAATTTATTCATGCTCATTGAATGGGCCTTTCCCGAAGTGGGGACCCAATTGAGTTACAAACCAGTTTTTTTTCCATCTGCACTATTTCATCATCTTTGTTTTGAATGTACTTTTTCAATTTTTATTTCAACAGTTGCAAGTAAAGTGGAGCCAAATGAAACTGAATTCCGCCTGAGAGGCCTGAACCCAAATTTGGAGTATGAAGTCAAAGCAACTGCTCATTCTGCTCCTGGTCAAGTTGTGTCTGTGTTCAGGATCGGTCCAGAAGCTTTTGGTAATGTCATACAGTACTAATGTATTGTGTTCTATGGAACATATTGGCTGAAAAATTGTTTTGCAATTATTTTCTTGCAGATAAGCATGCTGATTCATCAGAGCGCCTCTTTGCTCCTTTCCCAGTTGAAATATTCTCAGACCCTGTTGTCCTTGTTCCAGTTGTTGGTTCACTGATAACCATGATTATAGTTGGCACTGGTGTGTGTTGCTTTGTCAGGTGTCAGCCTGGTGAGTTTGATGTGTCCCATATATATATTTATTGCCCAGTATACATACTGTATTTAATATGCTCACTTCTTCCTCAAGTTTTTTCAGACATGAGCTTGCCTGTGCAAAAGAGACTGGAGACAAACAGCAACAACCCAGATTTTTCATATCATCAGCAAAGATCAGGCAGCTCTGGACACCAGCAGACTGCTGGTAGAATGAAACCTGGTTGGTTCACAAACTTCACATAGATGTCACCAATGTCCCAGCTGTTATGTATCTTTCACTACCAGAAATCATTTGTTTTCTAGTATAGGTGTTTTAAAATATAGTATGACCCCCAATTATGAAAAAGGCCTTAAAGTTGAACCAAGGAAGTTTTGACCCCAAAAAATGCAGTGCTAAGAAGATTTAAATTGAACAGGACTTGTGGGAATTGACCTGGGATTAACTGGAATTTTTCTCACTTTGAGTCTGTAATTTGTTTTTCTGTGCATTAAAATTTTTCCAATTTGGTGAGTTTAAATTATATTTTACAAATCAATGTGTCTATATGCAGTAGTGTGATTCAAGGCAGAGGTTTCTGAATTTTCAAATTGAAATAATTGTATTCAGCAAGTATAGAAGTGTAATGACAGTCATGATACCCAAGTGAGTATTGTTCACCAAAACTCTAATTGAATATTTGGTTGAAAAGTGATTCCCAAAATTTGATTCATTGATAGATAACAAAATTGCAATAATATAATATATGGTCTGCTTCATATGTAACTTCTGATTGGAAAAAATGTATTTTACAAATTGAGATATTAGACTGAGCATATACAATGTTCCACTGAATTTGCATGACCTCATGTGTGTTTCTGTCCAGATGAGGAAATCTCTCCATATGCAGTGTTTGAGATGAACCAAAGAGGAGATCCAGGAACAGCTACCCTCAACAATGCCTCCAGGGCAGGAAGGCGGATTGTAGCAGTGGACACAACAGGAACTATGGGAAGAAGCAGGAGAAGTGTGCCTGAAATGAATCACATGATGGGACAGTGTGATGTTCAGGTGGCAGATGTCGCTTCATCTGGGGGCTATTCCATTCCATTTGCCACCAGTAGGGATTCAGCTCTGGCATCATCTTTGGACACTCTGAGGGTTCTGGAGGATGGCAGCAGCAACAGTGCAACCAGGAAACTCACACACTGCAGGTGTGCTCTTACAGCATTAAGATGTAACTAAGATTCATCAACAGAATTACCACGCTCAAGGGATGGTTCTATGATTTTGCCAGTACAGTTGAACCTCCCTGAGTCAAATTTTTTCAAGTCCCTTTCAGGATTCCCTTAGAAGCAATGCATCCAAAATCTCTCTAACCTCCATAACTCAAACTTTTGTGAGTCTTTTGGCTATTATTTTCTTGACACAGGAAAGAGCAAAGCAGTAGAAAATTGACTCATGTTTTCAAAGGAAGTGAAAGAATAATGGAGCAAATGAACCCCTACCTCCAAGTTCAGCATCCTGTCAACTCATTTAATAAGTAGTAAAGGCCTAGAATGTTTTCCTGCAACTCTTCTATGCTGTTTCCAAAACTCAATAATTTTTTTTTCTTGAAATTTGACTTCAGAGGTTTGACTGTGAAGTATACTCTCACATATCTATTTGAACAATTTTTGAAGGTCTTGATGGAAAAGTCAGGGAAATAGTGCTATAATCATAGGAAAGTTTCCAGAATCAATAAAACTTCATTTCTCAGGGGATTTTTTTTACAGTTACAGCAACTATGTCATTTGTGAATTTTCTATCGAACTTTTTCTTTTAGCTATAAATTGGTAATTTAATAATTTTGTAAACATTTCCCCTCACATGAAGGTACAGCAGTATTACATTAAATACGTACTGTGTATTGGTGGGTCTGACACTACTGTAGAAAGATTTCATTTGGACCGGAAAAATTCATCGATTTCTTCTGTTAAACTTGTTATTCTGATTAAATTCCTTACTAGGCTTGTAAATTATTTTTTCAGCCAAAAAACAAAAAAATGGTTGTGATCGGAAAAAATGTTAAATTTCGGGGGAGAATTGACTTGAATAGAATTTCATGATGCAGGACCTTATAAATGAATTAGATGCGATTAGGAATTTGTTAAGAGGAGCTTCTCCTGCCTTTTCAATCATGGTTGTTCCATAAGCAGATCATCAAGACAATTCCTGAATTATTTTGTGAGTTTTGGTAGCACTTCATGACTGCAAACAAAATTATTAAAAAGTGCAAGTTTGGCTGGTAAATTGTAGGTTCCCTCGCATTTATGAGATGCACATTCGCCATTAAGTCTTCTCTCCATTATTTCTCTATGATTGAGCTCAAAATTGATAAGAGAGACCAGAGGATGGTCAAATGTCACCTCAGTGAAATCCATTCATTTTCACCCAACAAAAAAAAGCCCGAAGACTGACAAAACGTATGAACCTACCCTTGGGCCATCAGGAAATTCTGTACAACTAAAAACCTAAGGAATGCATCACCTAATTTCAGAGACCCAAACGCGCCGCCGAGAAGCAAGAAGAATAAGCAAAGGAATGACCAGCAACCCCAGGAATTCGACCCACCACCAGGGTTCGAGGACGATGTTACCCCGGGTTGCCCAATAATGAACCCAGAAGACAGCGAAAACTTCACCATCCGACACATGCCCGAACCCAAGAAAAATCGTGGTTCGTGGAAAAAGAAGGAAGGTGGCGGTGAGCAGCAAGCGAAAATGGCTCTGCTGAAAGACAATTTTACCATTTCCGTGTGAACCAATTTTCTAAAAAGGGATCGTTCGTACGAGTTTGAATGAAGGATTTTGCACTGATTTCTCATTTTTCGTTTATTGCCCATAATTTGAGGTCAGTGGATCCTCTAAAGAATTGCAACGAACCCGGATTTGCGAGAGATGAGAGATTTTCTTCCGCGGCCATCACAGGGTTGTAAGAAATTATCCGTTTTATTGCCAGCTCAACTTTCTTCCCATTGATGGTGTACTGAAAAAAAAATTATACAAAAATTCAAAAAAATCAGTTGAATTTTTACAAGAAATTAAAACCAAAAAACTGCAAGTTAAACTCACAGGAATATCTGGAACAGCCATTACAACAGCTGGAACATGTCTCGGTGACAATTCTTCCCTGATGGATCTTTTCATGCGTTGGACCAAATCTTCAGAGAGACTAGCAACTCCATCTGCCAGTTTCAGGAACAAAACAACTCTTTCATCCCCTGCTTTGTTCACTTGACCCACACAAACGCTGTCAGCAACTTCAGGAAATGTCTCCACTGTGTAAAAAAATATATATCCTCATTAACTTTTCTTGTTTAGGGGCATGAAATCAATTCAAATCTCACCAATGTGGTAAATATCAGCAGATCCAAATCTTACTCCATTTGGATTCAAAGTGGCATCACTGCGCCCAAGCATTGCAATTCCTGGGGGATCAGTGGTGATCATGCATAGATCACCATGAACCCAGATGTGGGGGAATTTGCCAAAATATGTTGACCTGTACTTGAGTCCAGTGTCATTGAGAAAAAAGACTGGCATTGAAGGAAATGGTTTGGTGCAAACCAACTCTCCTGGCTGATCTCTCACTGGATTCCCTGCAGGTTAAGAAATGATTCTGTCATCAGATCAACTCTTCAGCAGCAGGCATGTTGAGACACATGCAAAACTCATTAATTTCATGCTTTTCATTACCAACTTAAACTTAAATTCTGTATGTACTCAAATACCACACACACCTTTTTCCTCAAAGTGAGAGGAAAAAGGGATGCAAGTCACAGGCATTTTCACAAAAAGGTTTGAAGATGAAAAGATCATGTTTCACTTGAGCTCATATGAATTTTCTTTCCTCAATTGATAGCAATATTCTTGAAAATGGTCAGATGATCCCTGTAGTTTTACAAATTCTCAATTCTTATTAGACTGAAAATTGTTCATGATTGTCAACTTTAATTCTGAATTGAAAAAGAAAAAAATTGAAATGTCATTCTAGTTTTGCATATTTATGTCATCACAATAACTTCTACACAAGTAACTTTTTGCTAATAGAGGTGGACTCTCTCAACAACAAAATTCAAGTGGCCAGAATAAATTATTTGTGAAGAGAACTCTGTAACATTGCAGAGACCCCCTACAACATGGGGAGAGAACCCAATGGGACCAAACAAAAATTCCTTTGGAGAAAATTGTTGTTAGCAAGAATCATCTTAGAGTGTCCACCCATGTTTTACTGAGGCAATAATATTTTACTGAGAAAAATGTTTTACTGAGGCAATAATATTTTACTGAGAAAAATGTTTTACAAAAAACAGTCCAGTATTGGTATTTTACCATGCAGAAACTTCTCATGCTGCAAAAAATACTTACCTTGTTCATCAAAACACT